AGAATAGAATAGAATAGAATAGAATAGAATAGAATAGAATAGAATAGGGAATAGGATAGAATAGGGAATAGGATAGGATAGGAATAGAATAGAATAGGGAATAGAATAGGGAATAGGATAGGATAGGGATTAGAATCAAGGGTGGGATTCTACCGGTTCGGTCCACTTTTATAGAACCAATTGTTCTGAAAAGCAGCAAAAAGAGAGCAAACATAGAACCGGTTCTATGTCTGTAGCTGTTTTGGCTCATTTGCCCACCTGGGCTCTTACCTGACCTGACCTTTATTTCCTGAGTTTTCAACCGCAGCTGCTTTGCGCGACAGACCCGCGGTTGAGAAAGCAGGAAAAAAAGGGGCTTTACCAACTGCTGCGCACTCGCACACAGCGCCGCTCAGCTGTCCAGGCAGCTCAGCAGGTCATAAATTGCACTCACACCACTCACATGACTCGTGTGCGCAACGCAGAGCGACAGAACCGGTAGTTATACCGGTCGGATCCCATCCCTGAATAGAAAATAGAATAGAATGGAATGGAATGGAATGAAATGATAGAATAGAATAGAATAGAATAGAATAGAATAGAATAGAATAGAATAGAATAGAATAGAATAGAATAGAATAATAAAATAAAATAAAATAAAATAAAATAAAATAAAATAAAATAAAATAAAATAAAATAAAATAAAATAAAATAAAACAAAATTTAAAAGGCCCTCCAGCCTTTTCCCTTCTTTGTGGAGTTTTCCAAAGTGATGATTTCTGCTGCACCTGGACCAGAGGACCAGGGACCTTTCAGGTGGGTGGCGTCCAACTCCCAGAACTGTTGGAAGTCCATCCCTCTGAAAAGGGACGGAGAAACTCTGCCCTTCGACCAAACCGAGCCCTGGCCATTTAATTCCCTCTGCTGAAGATCAAAAGGATGGGCCAAGTTAGGAAAGTGGAAATGGTGTTTTCTTTGAACCCGGAACGCACGAACCGGCGTTTCCCCCCCTTCCACGTGTCATCAAAGGCGAATTCATCCCGCGTGCCTCGCCAAACGCACCTTGGGATCCGAGCCCGGCTGTCATTCCAGCCAAACAAGAGTCCAGCTCTGATTATTCCTCCTTCGTAAAGAGTCCACTGGCAGGGAGCAGAGAGGGAGGGAAGGAAGGAAGGAGAAGCAAAGCACAGCTGTTTCTCAACCAATTATCCAGATGCCTGCAGGTCTCCCATGTCCAGGGACGGAGGAAGCCATGAGCAGAAAGGATTGGCAAGGTTCACCGCGTTCCAAGTCATTTACTGGAGGGAGTTAATTAACGCTTTGCGGAGAAGCTGGGAGCAGGTCCTGGTTCAGCAGAGATAGCAGGTAGGAATGGACTCTGAGGGATGATTAATGAGAAGCTGAGCGCTTCCGGCAGACAAAGCTTTTGACCAGACCAAGGAGAGTCTCGGCTGGACTCAAAAACTCTCCGAGATTAAGCTGTTTCTAAAGCTATGTCCACCACCAGAACACGAAGTCTCAGATAATTTACAATGTCGAACATAGAACGATGGCTGGAAGGGACTTCAGAGGTCTTCTAACAGATTAACAGAGTTAGATGAGACCTTGTAGGTCACCTAGTCACACTCTTTGCTCAAAGGAGTCTATGACAATTTGCCATGGCCAACTTATCATGGCCAACATATAATGGCCAACTTGTCACGGCCAACTTGTCACGGCCAACTGGCCAACTCACTGCAGGACAACTCACCACGGCCATCTTGCCGCAGGACAACTCACTGTGGGACAAGAGTTACCCTAATATCAAAAAAAAAAGGTGGAAGAGAATCATTAAAGAAAGGATGCAAAACGAGGGACAGAATTATAGCAAAGGTTAAAATATTTTTTTTCTTTATTTGAAATAATTAAATGGAATTGTTGAATTGTCCCTCATTTTAGTTGTCCCATGGCCAGAGAGCCATGGTGAGTTGTCCTAGAGAAAGTTGGCCATGGTGAGTTGGCTACAGCGCATTGGCTATGGTGAGTTTTCCCGCTCCTTGCTCAAGGCAGGAGTCCATATCCCATCCTGGTCAACTGGTTGGCCAATCTTTTCTTGAAAACCTCCGGCAATGGAGCACCAACAACTCCGGGAAGCAAGCTGAGATCCACTGATTGTTCTCATTGTCAGAAAACTTCTCTTGTGGTTGGATTTTAACAAATCCCCACCAATTGCTCCTTGTCCTGTCCTCAGAGGAGTGGTTTGAAAAACCCCTTTTCTCTGCAAAAGCACCTCAAGTACTAGAAGACAGTTATCATATCCCCACTAAATCCTTCTTTTTTGTTAAACTGGACAAACCTAGTTCTAGAGCAAATAATATCTCTATATTTTTTCTTTATGTACACTGAGAGCATTTGCACTAAAGACAAATGCCTTGTGTGTCCAATCACACTTGGCCAATAAAGAATTCTGTTCTGTTCTATTCTATTCTATTCTATTCTATTCTATTCTATTCTAAAGTCCAAGTATGTCGGTATATAAGAAATTATGAGCTGAGATATACATTACAAGTCAGACAATAGGAACTGTTTGGTGACTAAGAAACAGCGTCTGTTGTGAGCCGTGTCAGATGGCTTGGAGACTGGCCATGGCTTAGGGTAGGTAACTGGTCTGTATCCATATAGAGCTTCTGTGAATTCTGAATTCTGGTGGTTCTGATTGCTTCTCCTTCTTTTTCCTTGTCTTTGCTACCACACCGCAAGAGCTGCCTGGGTATTGTATACATGCATCGTGTTTTATATTATTGTATTTAAGCAAGTTTCTTCTATAAATGAATCCTGCTGAATTTATTTCTCGTGTACTGGTTGGATTTCTGCAAACTCTAACCAAGCAGATGGGAGAAGAGTTGGTTAGCAGCTGACAAGTAAGGGCTACCTGTATTAGTTTGAGATTTTTAAAAACAATGGACAAAAATTGGAATAGGAAGGATTTGGAATACAGATTTCTGCCAATGCAGCCTTCTGTCTTTGCAGTTTTGCCAAGACTAACCCAGTTTCTCTTAACATGTATTTTGTTTTCATGAATATAGGCGGAAAAGATTTTCCCCAGTGCAATTTTATCAGAAGTCAAACTGCATCGCAAAGTTTGCCAGAAGCCTGAGTTTTGAAGGACCCCTGGGGGGTTGGTTCATACACTGGTTCCAAAATAGGAAGTTTGCATTCAAAGGGGAACTAATTTCTCCAACATCGGTCTACTTGCCCTTTCACAACCTACTTCTCTGGGGAGACTCACCTGAAGAGCAAGCTTTCCAAGCGGTTCTGGGGCGTCAGCCCAGCTGTGTCAAGAACAAAAGCAGACCTCGGGGAAGGAGGAGGCCTAAAAATATTTTCGCCAGGGTGCACAATCGGGATGGTACCAGCGCTAATGGAGAATTGCTCCAGGACCAACCTGGAAAAAAAGATAAAAATAGGTTTTCAGATATAGCTCAAAGCTTGGCAGGCAGGCAGGCAGG